GTAAACTATTAACACGTTGGGCCAGCTTGATTTGCTGTATCTTACCTTGGGTAATCCTGCAATTACTTGGCGTTGGGAGAGAAGAGGAGAACGGCAACTTCTTCAGACCAAGTAGAGAAACTATGTTTGAGTGCCCAAAGCATGCACTGTCCTTTAAGGCATGGCCTGTTCTTGTTGTCCACTGACTTCAAATCGAAGGATGAGAGTACGCCTGATTCCTTCACGAAAGGTGCAAGGTGTATAGGCTGACCGTTGTGGTCGACGGTTCGGCCGTCGTCACCTTTCCCAGACTCATACATAACGATTTGTTCTGGCTGACAAGGATACAAAGTTCTGCACACTACTCGAGCAGTTGATTGAAGTATTGCTAAGCTGATACAGACATCGGGAGCACCAAGTACACTACAAATCATCAGGTCACTCACAAATTAGACACTCGGTGACCGAAGAAACGGAGATATATCGTCCATGTGGGCCTGAAACAGAGTGCTTCCAAGAACTTCATCTTGGTGCACGTCACTTGTAGAGGGATTCCAGCCAGTCAGATGACTGCTAAGCTGTATCCTTCAGTTTGTCTAACAAGAAACTCTCACGTCAACTGGTGCAGCAAGTCACCAACAACGCACACTATCAGCCTATGTAGGACATTATGGTTGACCTTACTGAAAAGTTTGCTGTAATGGATGCAGCTCATATTGACAAACTTTCCCCGGTTTATTGCTTGCAACCATTCATGGTGCGGACCGAGCAGAATGTAATGTATTAGGAACCTTTCATGGAACATTATAGTATAGGTAACATGAGCTCGGATCTGGACAGCTTTGATATACCCTACTGAACAATCGTCTTGGAAACATTTACCTAAATACGTGTCAAACAACTGATCTTTGCATAGGCCCCCTTTCGCAACCGACCATGTCCCCGAACATTTCCACTCACTCGGTATTGAACCTTCTGGCTGCGAGTTGTTGGAAATTTCAGGCAAGGTATGTGAGATAATGCATCGTCTATACTTGCGACATTAAAGCAACAAAGCAGAGAGCACAATGAATTCACCGTCTCTGTTATAATTAGCCAGCAGGCGTCAACGGAAGCGGTCTGTGGTACAGACGAGTCTAAATGGCTCGCGGCTAATGTCAGACTAGGAAAGTGCATTTTCAAGTAGTTGTATTCTGGCTCCAGAAAGAGCTTCCTGATAGCAATGGACATTGCCTTGTCGCCAACTTCCAAGACCTTCTAAATTTGAACTTCACACACATGTTTCTCACATCTTGTTGACATCAGATCTAAGCAAGACGGTGTTGAGTGCGATGTTAGTGCGTATTTTTGGCGTATGTTTCTACTGCCCCAGTTTGAAGTAGTGTTCCTGCCAACTTTGCTTCCCTTTTCCTATGTTCAATGAGAAGTTGCATTTAAGATCAGCCTGTTCTAGAACAGTTGAACTCAAACAGAAGTGAAAAATAGAGACTACATATATGGTTTCGGGGTACATCAGCTAATCCAAACAAAGGCTCAGAGAACCGCAATAAAGTGGACCCACGAACAACTCTCGGTGCCGGAGGTGAATCTAACACCACAGATGCCGACGCAAGTCAACATCACGCATCGTCATCGTCTCCCGCACACGGAACACCAGGTGTAGAGTGCGACGGCTTAGCGGTCGCTTGATAGCCTGTCACAGTGGAATCAAGAGTTGTCACTGAGTTCTACCTCTGGCGCGATTGCCTCAGCCGTTAACGACATCTTTGTGGGGCCCACAAGTTTTGCTTGCTCGGAAACAACGAAGCGACACAAATGATCACGCTTGTTCATAATACTGCAGATGTCGGTAAAGGTTGAAAGCATGACGTGGCAGGAAGCACGGGGCGCACCTAAAGGGTGATCAACTGCTTAACTGCAATTCGGATTTGTATGGTTCTCGCTTGAAGATTAACCATATGTAGGTTGTTCTAGCCATCACCGGTTTGACGTTTTAATATAATGACGGAAGACTTAAGACGTAGCTAATCGGCTGTTTATATATCCAGTCTAAAATGTATGTTATTGCCTTTCAACTCACTCTGCCGAGACGGTGTTGGTTTTGGGTTTACGACAGTAGTATATGTTACTAGTTTAAGTTGATATTTCCATCTAATGTATGTTGCTGAGGCGGATAACTTGCCTCACATTCACTACGTTTCCGCCCTCGTGTAGTTATCCACTAAGCAGATTCGATAAATGGCAACGTCTTGATCATAGGGGCTCGGAACTTGGATATGTGAACTCAAGCCCTCCAAAGACCAGCAAGTTTGACAGCTTTTTATTAGTGGTAGCAGAAGAAGCAAAATCTGGTGTTCTGCTTGTGTTGGTTTACTACTGGTTAACCATGAAGTGCTACACTTCGCTTTCCCGCTTCTTCCACTGATGGGTTTTTCACGACTCTTCTGCCATCAGACGTTCATCATCTGGGTCTTTCGACTTATCAGAAGATGACACCGGCCAAAGGTTAATGTCCGCTGATTTCGCGCCCCAAGGTTTAATGGGAAGCCGGGACAATGAATTGTAAGGTTAAGAGAAGAAAAGATTAAATGAACCTCAGGGGAAATCCAAAACCTCTTATTTGACCATGTCACTACATCTGATGAGGAATTGTGGACAACTCGGTCGGTACAACTTTATCATATTCGGATAAATAACTGTGGTCAAGTTACATAGACTGTCAAGCGCACCGCACCTGTGTGTTTCCTAGCAGTTTAGTGTCCAGTTATTCGGTTGACGGGGGTGAGAATTGATGGATTTCATCTATAATAATTTAAGCTACCGCCTGCTTCTTTTAATCCCTGCCATCGACGATTGCTTAAATGCAGGTGCAGTGGAAGCATAAAACGCCCTTCAGAAAGACAAATAGTATATCTAAACTACCTAATGTTCGCACGCCTCTTGATGCCTTTTACAATGAGTTACACTAGTTCAGCTTACACTTCTGTATAAATAATCTGTTGACTTCTGACCGACTTCCTTGTAAATTATCACGTGATCTAGCCATACATACCATCAATGTCTGTAGAAGCACTAAGCTTAACAAAGGTAGGGAACGTGGAGACGCCTAAGTTAGTGTCTATAAATCTTAGAGCTATTGCTACACGAGATTTCAGCACAAGGAAGAAACTACTGCAAACGATAAGAACAAAAATTAACGAATTGCATCATGCAATCCCATGGCAAGCATACTAAAGTATTAAACATTTGGTCACACATTATATTATTTCTTGGCCTGCTGTGTGGTAATTTCGATTTACCAAAATGTTTCAATCAAACTAAAGAACAACCAATTGTATAACTGGTTCTTTACCAACAATTTGGGACACAAAGTAGGGAAGCTCGTCCGAGCAAAGTTACGGGGAAACAAGGGAACAATGGTTTACTACGAGCAAACAAAGCAATCATTAACATGTCTCGTAGCATGAAAAGCATTTAGTAAAGACAGCATGGTGAAGAACTTAAAATCGCTTTGATGGACTCACCATAATTTCATCATTGAAAGCTACATAAATATCCCAGATATTCACTTCTTAATATATATAAATCCAGTTGGTTAGAAGTTTATAAACATACTGTTTGCTTGCGTAATGTAGCCTTCGGCTAACATGTTATAGAGTGAAATGTGAATGGGACAATGCTTTGCCAAATCCTTTTAAAGCATCGATAGGTTAGACAGCGTTCAACATCTGACATACTCGAGTGAAAATAAATTTCGACGGTATTTCAGCCGGCTATAACGTATAGCCAGCTGTAACTAATGACTTCTTAGTTTGGTATTGTGGCTCAGTTTCAGCAGCGGACGGCCAACATCGTACGGATTCATCAGGATTTGGTACACCATTACGATGTCCTACTGCAAGCGCCCATATCGGCCGCTGTATCATCCTGCGGAATTCAATCTAAGCTGGTAGGGCAGAGGCAAGAGGACCATAACGTTTTTGTATGTACCTCGTTGTGGAGTCTTGAGAAGAGCAAGATTTGTTTCTGGCACTGGTGTCACACGTAGACAGCGTATTTCACGTGCAGTTCCACATAGGCGTTAAGCATTTGTAGGAAGAATGAGGAGCCAAACTGATCAAACACTCTACGAAGAAGGACGAAATTTCGATTACCTGAACTGGACGCTTCGTCGGATTGTTTCGAGTAACCGAGATCGTCCTAGACCAGTACCTCAAGGTCAAGCTTGTGATAAGCCTTCAGCTAAGTTTGGTCCCCAAGCTTGTGCACGGTCACCGATTGATGACGCAGGTGAATCACTGCGCACTTGGATAGGTTGAACTGGAGTAGGTTCCTCTTGAATCACTCATGAATGCAATGGTCAAATTGGCGAAAATCGTGATCTTCCTTGCGATCAATGACTCGACTTGTCTGGTCGTCATAGGTGAAAAGAGGAAAATTATTGCACGTAACTCTTACCAATTCGTTTGTAAGCCACGAGCAAATGTGCTGTCCTAGAACCGAGGCCCCGCCAAGGACCGCA